TAGTTTTCGGTTGTTTTCTTCTCTTGTTCCCATTCCCCCGTCCCCTCTCCTTCTCCTCGGAAGCCTGCCTGTCCCCTTGCTCCCTCCATCACCTGAACCCTTGCACTTGTGGGTGACTCAGCCCTGGAGAGGCCTCGAATTGTCTGAGAGTTTTTGTCTTGGCTCTAATCTGGGTGCTGGTGCACAGCGTCTGAGCTCCCTGCAAGGGGGAAGGGGCAGCGGGAGGGGAGAAGGTAAGGAGTTTGGGTCTGGGACAGATAATTTTCCAACAGGAGCCTCCACTCTCTTATTAATAAAAGGGGGACAGTCCCCTTTTGTCTGATGCTCCGAGGGGTGTATCTAGGGCCCAGAGCTTCCACCAGTGGCCTGCAGAAGGGGGCTGCAGGAGCAGGGGTGTGCCAAGTATTTCTAATGGAACCTGAGCAGGATCCTTCTCTGTGTGCCCGCAGTGGAGTGAGGGAGACCTGCTCTCCCTCCGCAAGTATTCCAAGTACGCCGGCTGTTCTTCTTCCGCGGGAACAGGGTGAGGGGAGAGTGCTGCCTGGGAACCCTCTCTGCCCATCTTCAAGGTTATGACCACTGTCAGGAGAAGGGCACTTGATTGTTCTCCCTCTGTGTTACTCCCCTAGGAAGGGCCTGTTAAGGGAGCATCGAGGGAACAAGGGGGCTCTGCGTGGGTCCCTGAGGCTCCATTGAGGCACTCCATTGGCCCTCCTAGGCCACTTCTGTGTCCAGTCTCTCTACCACTCCATCAAACTTTGACCCCTCCCTCCATCCAGGGGCGAACCGTGGATCTCCTCCTGTTACCCTAACTTCCAGGTGGATCCTTCCATCTGCCATCTCCCCACCACCTACCCAGTTGTACCACCCGATTCAGAAGATTCAGAATCAACCCGTGTTCAGCGAGTCTCTTCCACCCAGTGCTGTGGTCTGTGGGACAGAACATGCCAGAATTCTCCAGGAGGCTCACGTTGGCCATTTTCTGTTGCGTTTCTAATATTTAGCACAAATCGAAATACCAGAAAACCACCCCTGTGCCAAATATCAACTCACCTTTAGTTTCTAGCACCTCTTCTTGACTTTAGAAAGTAGGATTGCTTCTCTCAAGGTAGAGAGGCAGGGTTTGGTATCTTATGTCACTCAGCTGACATCTTTGGCTAATTGGATCGAAGCTGGTTATTAACATGACGTTAATTATTGAACGCCACCCTAAGAGGCCTGTCCGCAATGTCACCTGCCTCCTGCTCTCTCACCTCTAACCGCTTCAGTCGCGGTCAGCAGTGAGCTCACTTTAGAGCATTCAGAGCCCAGGCTGGGGTCCCAGGTACTGAGCGGCACCTTTCTCATTGTCAGGGTTTGGTGCCAGCCCAGGGCTGCGTGTTTTGTTTTGGCACACCCCGGGCACTCATTCGGGAACCTTTCTGCACGGCGTAAAGGCCACCGAGCACAGGGTTTCAGATGGGGAAGAAAGGGGCGCGACTAAGCAGTGACCTTTTTTCTGTTGCCAGCTGAGGGCTGAGCTTTGCCTCGGGAAGAGGGCAGCTGTAGGGACATTCAAGCGGGAGCAGCCTCTCCCTGTCTGTGTTCTCATCTTCCTCTGCTCTTCGTTTCTTTAGTAACTGTCTCCTCCTGACAGGCCTAAAGGATGGCTGCCCAATAGCCCCTCCCAGAGAGAATGCTTTGGAGACCACTCAGGTCTCCCTCCTCAGTGCTTCCCTCTGGCCTCCCTGAGAGGCCTTGGAGCCAGGGCTCCATGGCGAACCTCTTCTCTGTGACTTGGTTTCCCCAAGGCTGTCTCAGTTTTCCTGATGGAACCCCTTCCTTTCTGTTCTGTTGTTTCCTTTCTTAGCTCTCTCTCTGTAGGTTTCTTATTTTATACCTTGCTCCATATGATTCAGGCCCTTTAGTCTGAATTGGATTGGGGGACAGGTGAGTGTTCCCCTCCTCCAACCAAGAAACACTAAACCCCGGTCAAGTGGAGGGGACAGAGCCAGAGAAAGCAAAGAGGTGGTGGGGGAGGCGTCGGTAGGACCCAGAGTTGGGGAGTAGTGTCCATCTTCCTGCCTTTGTCACTTCTCCCGGGGTTGGCTGTTGTGTTTGTGGCTGCACGGAGGGCTTGTCAGCGAGTGCTGTGACAGGAGGCTATTTTCATAAACTGTTGCAGTTTCTCGAGCTGAGCTGCATTGCGTTGGCATCCCTTGTCACTGCTAATGGAGCGAGCGTGGCTGGGTGTGGGCCCAGGGAAGCAGCCGAACTGCTGAGGGCTGGGGAGGAGAGCCACGGGGTGCTGGGGGGCCTCCTGGTCTGGGAGTGCTCCTGAGAGCAGCCTCCAGACTCCAGGAAGAAGGGGTGGCCGCACCCTGGGTGCAGGGTCCCTGACCTGGAAGTCCTGCTGGCATCGACGCCTTCCCAGCTCTCTTTCTTCTTTTCTTTCTATTCATAGCACAGCTCCTGTGTATGGCCCAGGAGGAAAACTTCCACTCGCCCCTGTGCGCTCCATAAATAAAAAAAGAAATAGAACCAGAAAAAGAGAGTGTGCGGGCCCAGGAGAAAGACTGAAACCAAAACACAGAGCGAAGGCGCAGCTGCTTTCCCCAAGGCCTTCTGGGGCTCCTGCCCGCCAGCAGCCTGCCCGGAGTCAGGCCTTTATTTATTTATTTTTCTGGCTTAAAAAAAAAAAAAAAAAAGAAACATTCCGAGTCTTCCTCAATCCTAGCCCCCACCCCACCCTACCCCCTCCAAATTTGCTGGGTGGCCGCTGCCAAATGGACCTGAGTGGGAGCCTGGAATGAAAAATTCATAACTGCTGGACTTTGCTTGTTCATTAGACGTGAACTTGTCGATTGGGCAAATTGTTTTTGGTCTCCAACTGCCGGGGGCTCTCCCCACCCTCCCGGCTCGCAGGGTTCCCTCCTCCCCTTGGACACAGCCATTGGCTGCTCGAGGATGTCTCATTGCCAAATAGGTGGATCCTTCTCTCTCTCTCTTTCTCTCTCTCTCTCTTTCTTCTTTCCTCCATCCCTCCTTTCTTCCTTCCCTTTCTTCCTTTCAGTGGTTGTTTTACACAACGGGGTAAATCTAGTCCTTGATACTCGGCTTTGGCACAAGCAAATGGATGGGGATTGAGCATGAAAGGGGAGAGAGAGGGAGTTTGAGAGAGAGAAAAGAAGCAAAAAAAAAAAAAATCCAAAACCCAACCAGCACACATGCACACTCGCACTCACGCGCGCGCGCACACGCACACACACACACACACGGCCCCATCCCATCCACGTCCTCCCCTGCTCTCTCCCTTTTTCTCTCTATTCTTCGCTCCCTCCCTTGCTCCCTCTCTCTTTTGCACGCGTCTGCCAGCGACAGTCTGCAGCCGGTCCGAACTCGTCCCCTTCCCCGGGAATCTGCGAGCTCCCCCTTTGCCTTCGATCAGGCTCAGAGGCAGAGGGAGGCAGCTCCAAGTTTACACCCCTGTGCCGCTGCCAAAGCCGAAAGCCTTATTCTTCAGCTGCCGCTTTTCCCTCTCCTGGTTTTTGTTTTTGTTTTGTTTTTCACGGGGGTGGGGTAGGGTGTGTTGTGGGTTGGGAGGTGTTGGGAGGTGGGTTTTGATTTTTTAAATTATGCATATTTTTCTTTTTTAAACTGGAAGAGGATGCACAGGGGGCAAAATTGAAAAAAAATTTTTTTTGGTTGGCTTTTGTTTACCTGGCGTGTGTGGCAACCGGCTTGCTCCCTCTCTCTGCTTGCTATCCCTGACCTTTCTTTCTTTTTGCTCCTTTTCAAAAAAAATATTAATTTCCCCTTCTGTGCAATGGAGCGTGGGGGGGAGGGAGAAGGGTTTGAGAATCCACCCAAGCCCAGCCCCTATTCCCCAGAACACCAATAATAACCCCCTTTAAAACATTTACCT